AAAAAAAAAAAAAAAAAAAAAGGATTTAAAGATAAAGTAGGCAGCACAAAACGTGAGTCAAACTTTGAACCTGTGTCATCCTCCAATGTTTTTACCTTGATATTATCAAAGGATCAAGATCTTACACCTGCTGTACTGCAAAGGGCTGTGAATACCTGTTTTTTGAACAGAAGCTTATAATAAGAAGCAGTTCCCAATGCTAGTTAGCAGGTGTTTCCTGCTGAAACTGGGAGGGTCATGAATGTAAATCTAATTTTGAAAGTTTCTAACCTCAGGGTTAATATACAGTAGTGCTGCCACTCTTATTGCCATCTGTACTAAAATTTAGTTCAAACTGAACTTGATAGCACTTGATCCTACTGAGTGAGCCCAATTGTTTGCATTCTTGCACAAATGTGTGAATGGCAGCCTTCGGCAAAGCAAATGCTGGGTCTGCTCCCTTCAAAGGATTTGTGAGTGATCCTTGCCCTGCTGACTTCATCCTTAATTGGTCTACACTGTTGGGAGCAATTAAAAATAAATGGTAGCTTGCTGAGCTGCTATAAGGGAAGTTCTACAGCTATGGGCATGAGCATTCCTATGCAAGTCCATTGCATATGCCGTACACTGACAATGGCAAAGGAGAAAATAATGTAAGGCTGAGAGTTACTGTTCTGAACAAGCTCTCTGGGGAAAAAAATTGATAATATAAGTAATAGCAATTCTAGAAATAAATTACAATTAGATTCATGGTATGCAACTATGAGACTTTTTCTCCCCTGACATTTTGTAAAATGTGTAAACATGATCCCAGTTATGTTCTTGGCCCAGCAATTTTGTGTTTATATGACTTTAGTAAAAAGGACCATTTCTCAGGCAATGAGAAAATTATCTATCTATCTATCTGAGTGTGAAGATGGAGGCTTGCCCAAATTAAATACTTAAGGTCAAATTTTGCAAAACAATTTTTAATGAAAAAGTTGACCAATTTTTTTCCCAGAGAAAAGGGTTCCAGAATTGCATCACTACAATTATTCATACTACATAAAGGGAAATTCTGAAACTGAGCAATAACTACCTAGAGCAGGGGTCAAAAAACCCTGGTACATGTGAAGTTATTTTGCTTGGCATGCCACAAGCCAACCTAGGCTCTGGGCAGGCCCCTGCCCCTGGTCAGAGCCCAGACTGCTCTCAGCAGGTGGTGGGGAGGCTGCAAGCAGCTGCCACCAGGGTCTGTGGAGCCCCAGTCCAGGTTGTTGCTGGCAGTGAATGCATGCATGCCTCAGGGCAAATGGCAGGAAAGGAGCCAGGGTTTTGCTGACACAACAAGGATAGGGCCCCTTGTTGCTCCCTTGCCATCCGCCCCAGTACGTCAACATCTTACAAGTCGAGGTTGCAGGGTTTTCTGGCACTGTCCAAAAACATTGTTGACCCCTGATCTATAGTGTCAATATAAAGAAGTACTGTCTTGAGTAACTTAACAAGAGGCAGGTATCATGCCTTCTTCACAATGGGCCTAAATCTTTTCTTAACGATCAATGAATACGTCCATGTCATAAGCATCTGAATACTGCTCCCCAGCACCTCCAGAATCTGCAAAGGTGGGAAAAGTTGAAACACAAGCAGATAAGATTGGGTCTCACTTGATATATTTTTTTATGCAAAGGAGACAGTTCAGTCTGTTTTAAAGTGATCAAATCCATCCAGAAATTACCTGGAAAATATGTGATACTGAACAATGGCTGATGGTTTATTTGGGTGAGGACTGTCCATTACCAGGCAAGTGCATGATGAGCAGTATTAATAGCTACGTGTTTTATTGTTGTATCAGACATTCCTACATCACCTCTATTTGCAGTGTAGCTTTGTCAGGGATTTTGATAATACCTTGCCTGCGGAAAAAGTCAAATAAACATGGTAGTAGAGTGAAAATCTACCAAAATGAGATTCCCCAGGTGCATATTTGTAGTCAACTGAGGCTAAGAAAACACCTGTTATAATATATGATATCCTAAATAGTTGTGATGTAATTACTGAAGTTGGCATATTTGGGGAAGTTGTACTACTTTCAGTGAAGAAATGTCACTCAATCACTTGGCCTTTTTATTGGTCCATTTACTATGATACAGTTTGAAAAGTGTAAATGCTGTACACTGTGAATCCATGTAAACATACCTAGCAGAAAACAGAAAGAGATAGATAAAACACTAGTCCTTTGCTAATATTGAAGTTGCAATATACCAAAAAAGAACAAGGCTATAAGTCCTGTCTATATATTTGTAGTCAACTGAATGTAATAAAGGAAAGGAAAATAGTGTGAAGAGTATATGGTTTTGTGTTGACCTTTATGTATTACTTGTGGAGAATAAAAATTAAGATTCTTTTTGTATTATGTGTCCATTCTTACTTCAAGTGTGTATTCCCATAGGCCCCTGGGGTTAAAGACATTCTTTAAACATTTCAGGGGTACTTTTCAGGACATATAACATTCTTACTAAATGTGACCTCTTTAAAAGATATTTATGTTAATTTTTATTTACATGAAAAAATAAAAATCACCTCTCCTAGGCTTGAGCTGCCCTTAGCATACTTCAATTACAATTCCTAAGCACCTTGAAGTATGTGCTTGGTATAGAACATAGAGATGTCCAAAAATTCTTATTATCTAGATTCCAGACAAAGAAAAGTGGCACAAGGAGTTACAAATACAGAAAAACATCTAAACTTGTTAGGCGGATGTCATCTTAGTTCTATAATTGTTTTCAGCATTGTTCTTAGTATCTCCCTGCCTCTTCCTATTTATTAAGGACCGTGGCCTAACAGCACTGAAGAATTCAGAGAAAAATAATATCATTCAGAACTAGCTAAGACTTGACTCTCTTTTGGATAAATTATCTTAATATATAGTTGTGTTATCTTGGTAAAACTAATAGAGTAAACTGCATTTTTGAATGAATATATTTAATCTGTTGTGTGACTATTACTGAAACAAGTGAAGTTATTTTCATGGTTAAGCATTAAAGAACAAAATATCTATAGAGAAAATGTGATTATTTCTACTTATTTACATAGCACCAAGTACAAAATAATTATGCAACACTAATAGTTTTCCACAATTAATTCAATATAAAGATAGTAGTACAAATGATCTGTAGATTAATAGATGGACAACTAAGGGAAATGCCATAAGGGAAAAAGGGAATTTTAGGATTGCATGTTATGCATCTATGTGTGTATATAGAACACATGTATTTTATAGGCACACAGCTAAATGGCCTTATATGTACACAGCTAAGTGATTCCTAAGACTGTCTTTTTAATAGTGTGCATATATTCTCAATGGTTTAGAACTCTCATATCACAAACTGCTAGACAAATATTGATACAATTAAGACAAATAATATGATTGATTTTTCAGTCAGTATCCTAGTGTATGACTACCAGCACAGCACCATCTAGTGGGCCAGAAACTGAACACATCTCTAACAAACCTGAATAATACAGTTACAAACCATTTTTCTATACATGAGCACAATTTTAGAATGTTACAGTTCTTCCACATGCATTTTCTTCAGGCAGTGTAAAATAGATCATTAAAGAGTTAGCAATTTGTAATAATGCTATATGGTGTATAGCTCCATGAAATTTGGCAAAAAGTAGGTGTCGGGGTGCTATTCCATAATGAAAGTTAAATGTTTTCACTCAAAACAGAGATTCAACCTTTTTATCATATATCAGAAAATACTGCTAATCCTTCCTACCATTACCAATAGGACTCTTTGGGAATTTTAGGTGCTGCCTGAATTTTTAAATGAGAAAATGCCAATTTTTGTGACCAAAGATATTTATATAAATGTACTACTTTCAGTAATAATAATTTAATAAAAGAGATCACCTCCCCAAAAGTTACGATTACTTTTGCCTACAGACCAATATGGCTACAACCTGTATCCCTGAAACATGGAAGTTATTGAAATTAGCTGTTTTGATATAAAAAATTAATAATTTTACAAGAAGGAAACAACATTCAACATCTTGAGCCTGAAAACTGACACCTCTGCTCCAGCCTTTTGTTTTGAACCAAATTTGCATGCTCACAGAGCAGCCACAACACAAGAGAAATTCCTTGCCCAGGGGAGCCTTCCAGCACCCATCCTCCTGTGAAATATGAAGCATCATAACAAGAAAGAAGCATAATTCAATGTCCTGCTTGCCATCAGACGACTCTGAGGTAAATAGACTGCTCCAACTTTTACCTGAGCCTATTTTACATAAAATGAACTTTTCCAACCAGGAGATCCTACCCCACCTTTCAGCTCTCCTGTGAAATATAAATTTTTATTTCCATTTGGAAGAAATGTTACCATCTTGCACTCTTCTATGCCTGAAGAAGGGTGTGTGTGCCCAAAAGCTTGCAAATAAATAATTTTTTTTGCAACTATCCAATTAGTCTAATGAAAGATATCATATCCCCAAGAGTTCTGACTACTTTCAGTGACACATTTATAAGGCACGGGTTCTCAGATCCAAGATTAAATTTCTGGTGAAAACCAAAGGAAGTGAGCTCTCTCTACAGAAAAGGGAATAGCTAGAGCACTCACCTGGGGAGAAGGAAACTGAATCTGGGTCTCCTCAGTAGCAAGTAACTAGCTATTAGTTTTTCTGGGGCTAGAAGGAGGTCTTTTCTCTCACATGTACTTTTCACAAATAATGAGAACATTATTAGAAAGGGTTCTCCTGGGCCACTGAATGCATTCCCCAAAGAACACTGAAATATCACAGATTCATCCAAATATATACTGGAACATTTTTGAGAGATAACTATACCACTTCCCGGACAGCATTATTTTCAGCACTTATTCTTTACATAATGAATTATTTTTTGAGACTGTACAAGTAACGAGTTAAAATGTATTAAAACTGTTTCCTTTAAGAAATGTAGTATGTTTCAGCATTTTTTTTCCTCACAATGCTCTTTCAAACAAAACACAATCTTCTTGCTTTCTACGTAATTCAGTTTCACTGAAATTTAGTAAATAGACCATACTGGAATAAATTAAGTTACAGATAGACTAAGTTTTTAACTGTATCAAATGATGATGGTTTCATAGACTACAAACTGGGTCAGTTCAACCGTTGAGGTAACTTAAGTGTGACAAAGGTAACTCTCTGTCTCATCATCTTTCCTTACACCAGATCTACATATGACAGTTCCATTGTTTTCACTGTGTCAGCGATATAGGGGGACTGTACACATGTTGAGAGTCCTTGCAGGTTATTTGGTCCAGTTGTTACTGCCCCTTTAAGGGTTCCATGATAAGGTTCGCATCTATATCCGAAAGGTTCCCAGTTGCACTTCTGTTTGTGTTCAACCACATACAAAGACAATACTGTCAGGAAAACAGAAGCTGTAAGGCATAGAGGTATTGAGGCACAAAGAAGGGCCCTCCCAGCCCTAACTTACAAAATCAATGTGACTGTCCCAGGAAACAACATAACGAGGGATACTCACCGGCAGCCTGCAGCGCACGAGGGGCGGAAGGAAGAGCCCGCACGGCTCGTCATCCGCCTGTTTATCCAACTGCAGCCAGCCAGTGACGTCAGCGTTAAACGCTGGCCAGCAAGAATAAAAATGGCAGCACATGCTGCGCAGATGGTGGAGGGTCAGGGGGAAGAACTGCTGCCGATGTCGGCGGCAGAGAAGCCACTCCCCATGGGACCCAGGGGTTGGAGCCAGCTGGGGAGAGCACAGGCAGAACAAGGCGGAGCACCTCGGTGTTGACTCGCACGGGACGGTGAGGGAACATCCAGAATGCCGTCCAGGGACATAGCCAGAGCAACCCGGGGAGACGGAGCAGACTGCAGGTGGGAGTGTGGGGACAATGGGGCTCCAGTCGTGGGTGCCCCCTCCACAGATGGAGGAGGCTGTTAGACAGACACCGCTCCACAGGAGGCATGAGGCCAGGGTGTAGGGATGGTGGAGCCCCATGAGTAATCGCTGGGTGAGCCACGGGCCAATGAGTGCACCCAAAGAACAACCCCGCACACTAAGGTCCAACAAGTCATGGCAGACGAGTGTGGGGTTGAAGACGCAGGCGGAAAACATTGGCTCAGGCAAGAACACAAACCCGTGAGGCATTTGACACCAACCACCCCTGCGAAAGCCTCCCGGGAGTGACTGTTTGAGGCCAGGCGGCTACAGAGTGGTGCATTGGCCGGGAACCCTTCGGTGGGCCACCTGACCAGTATGCAACCTGCCAAGATGGCTCCGTTGGACCTGTTGGGGCAGAATCTACAGGTCCTGACACAGATTGTGGGTACACAGCAACGGATGCTGGAGTGGCAGCAGGATTGGATGCGACATGGCCCATCCACCTTGCAGATGCCCAAAATGACATTGGAAGACGATTTGGAGGCCTACATCGAGGCCTTTGAGCGGCACGCGGTTAGCTCCAGCCTTGATAGAGGATATTGGGCCAGCCAGCTAGGGGCCCTACTAGGGGTGGGCAAGGCTCAGGCAGCTTACAGGGCCTTGACCAGCAATGAAGCCCAAGATTACGAGGCTGTTAAAGTGACGATTCTCTATCATTTGGAGATCAGCCCGGAATACTACTGGTGGCTTTTCCAAGCCAAGAAGGGGGCAGAGGAGAGACAGCCGCAGCTGTTGCTCCAGCAGCTGCAGGACCTCTTTGGAAAATGGGTTAACTTGGCAACTTGCACAGTGGCGACAATCGTGGATAAGGTCATACTGGAGCAGTTCATGAACAACCTGGAAGAGAGGACCCAGCAGTGGAT